CACTCACTCACTCACTCACTCACCCATTGATCCGTCCATAACATACCCGACGCGCCGACTAAGAGGTATTTTTTTTACAAAAAAATAACTCAATAAATGGGCCAATTTTGTTGTCAAATCAAACAAAATCAAAACACAAACGTGTACTGCGGTCAAAATTTTAGTATTGCCTCATTTTATTTGTGTCCTAAATCTTAAAGAGGAATAATAAATTCCAATTTAGATTTCATCAATTTTGTAAAAATATCTTAGAAATGACCACACCCAAAAGCTCCTTAAATTTCAGGCATCATTCCTTAGTCAACAGAAACAAAGTTTTCTGTTTTTACAATCAAGAGAGAGTAAAGGCTTGGGAGTGTTAAAATGGCCTTAATCTGATAACTATCTTTTGAGATACAGTATTTTAATTCACCACCAATAAAATGATCAAATTAGCCTCCAGTCCTACCTTAAAATTCTAACTTGGTTCCGAGGTTTAGGGGAATAAAGCAAAAGAAATCGCATCGATTAAGAGGGATGATAATTTGTTTCTTTTGTTTTATTCTCCTAAGTCACGGAGCCAGGTTATTCAATTATTGTTCAACGTTGACGTATGCAGTTGCAACAAGTAGGCATTATGTAAGACCCGATGCTATTTCTTGCGACGTTTCCTGCAATAAAACTGTAACGAGAAATTGTCCAATTCAAAGGGCGTGTTTATTCTTTCCAGAAACCCTCTATTTTGCCTTGAGTTCGTCGACATCGCAAGTAAAAGAATTTACCGAACGGTTTTTTAAAAAGCCCGAACGCAAGGCCCTAGGGAAAGACTTTGCGTCCGCTCTCGCTACACTTGGTGACTGGACCACGAGTAAGCCATCTTTCACTTAGTCCGTCGAGCGAGACCGTAAATAAACCGCGAGGCAAAAAATGACCGCGTGAAATCCTAGGGCGACCGACGCGAGTGCATTTCGCCCCCAGGAGTTTGCGAGGCCTTGTTTTTTTTTTTTCTCGCGGTTTCTTTCGCGTCACACAAGACGGATTAAACGAAAGAGGGACTGCTCGTAGTCTATCGTGTAACAAACGTTACCCGAAAACTGGTTAAGACTGGACTACTGCTGACAAAGAATCGACCAAGGGATGGTAACTACAAAAAAAACACAAAAGCAGATCGAGTTTCATGTTTTTTTTTTTTTCTTTTACAAGTATTTCATTGTTGCTATGGTTATTTTACAAAATTTGCAACAAACCCACGATTATAGCCGTCTGCCTTTAGCCGATTGTACACTTAACACTGAGTGACAGAAAAGAAAATCGGGAGCATCTTTTGCCTAGCGCTTCCCGGATAAAACGAAATTCTTATTTCTCTATGACTTCTCTCGCCAAAAATGCAAAGTTCAACTGAATACATACAATTTAAATACTCCACAGAAGTTCTCTGTTCTTTTCATATAGAAACTGAGTTTGGAATTAATCCTCTTTCAGTTAAGTTTAGTTTCTGTTTTGATGTTCCACCATATCTACAGACTACTAATTTCGTATTTTAAGGTTTACTTGTCCGAAAAGACACAAACATGTCACTAGTTCCGTGTTTTAATGTGCTGCACTTCAATTCTATACAGTTATTGTCACTGAGCTCATTGCTTATTGTCTGTCTACAAACTTGGCTCTCACAGCTCTGTCAGGGATCGTAACCCCTCGAACATACGGCTCAACATTCTCCGCATCAGGAGGATAAGAAATCTCAAATTGTTGTACGATTCTGGCCAATAAAAGATGAAGCTCCAACTCAGCGATACGACGGCCAATACACATTCGGGTTCCAAACCCAAACGGAGTGGAAGAGAAAGCCTCTGAGGTGTCGGTTGGAATTGCGTCTTTCTTGCGCAGCCATCTTTCTGGTCTAAACGCTTCAGCATCTTCGAAAAGTTTCTCATCTCGGCCCATGACATGGGTGAGAAACTCGACTTGTGTCGTACCTGCCGGAATAAGGTATCCGCTTAAAACTATATCCTCAGCCGGCCTACGAGGAATAGCACAAAGGACTGGATAGAGTCGCAGCGTTTCCCGTACCCAGGCTTTCAGGTAAGGCATTTGCGCCAGAGTCGTCGGTGTCGCCAATGTTGTATCCCCAAGCACTGATAATACTTCTTGTCGCAGGATGTCTTGCTTGTCAGGATTTTTCGCCATCATGTACAACACCCACTG